AACGTTTCGACAAGGTTTTGTCATCATCAGGTTAAACTTATATTAAAGTTTTCTTCATTACACATTCAAGCCGTCTCCAACCATTATTAGTCTCAAAGTGGGTTCCTCGTCATCGAATTTGAATTACTCATACAATTTCATGGCCGACCAAGTAACTGAATATACGCAACAACTAACACGTAGCTTACAACGATAAAATGAAAAGTTTACAAATAAGATAAATTTTTAAGTTGCGGTAAAGAAATGTTTATTTTACATAATATTTCTAACATGTTTAATTTAATGTTTTATATATTTTTTTAGGTTACCAATATCCAGAGCAAGGAAAGTGTGAATCATTCCGTCACAGTATAAGAAAATGAGCAAAATACTGAAATTTAACTGACCGATTCTTGACTGTACTTTTATTTATTAACTCTGAGGTTATAAATCACACACTATATATAGTCTAGTTTAGTCTGGAAATATTCCAGTTTTTTTATTGCACAGAAACATAACATTTTAAGGGTAAATATATATAAAAATCTGTCCGAACAAAAATATTTCATTTGAACACAGTATACATGGGCGTTAGATTATATCACACAGAATCTTTATAAAATACAGAAGTCATTGCTAAACATATAGGCTTTTTTGTAAAGTTTTATCACATTAAGTTAAAAAAATTCGAGGTTTCTATTAAAACTAAAAGAATATCTAGTACCAAAACAACCAAGTACTTAAACTGAAAATTTCTGTATATTCATAGTTGTATAAGTTGTAAGTCTATATTTTTTTATTGAAAATATGTTCATTAACAAATTGTTTTTACCAATAGACATTATTTTCCCCCAAAAGTTAATTTCATCACTTAAATAGAACTTAAATGAAAAAAATATCAGCCTAAAAAATCCAGTTTAAAGTAGAAAATTTTATAAATACACATACATACCTGATTGGCTTTGTTAATCTGTTTTTTTAAGCCGGAAAATGCCATGGTGAATTAATTTTACTGCAATAATAGTTTCAGTCTAGGAAATGGTTCTTTTATATCTGAAATACGAAAAACACAAGAAGATCATAAATCTTTATGGCTTTAAAGTAACGATCATTATATGTTCAGAGTTATGCCTCCAGCAAACGAACCCAACAAAACGCAAAAGTAGAAGAAATCCAGAACTTTAAATTATGTTTCAAAGTATATGAATATGAAATGAATAAAAACTTCAAGAATAATACTTTGTAAACTATTTATCTACTTCGATTGTATAAATACTCTGTTTTTACTTGTTGCTTCTGTTGGACTAAAATCATATCATGAAATTCTGTACATGGCTTGTGTTTGTTCATGCAAGCTTTTTCTACTTTTATCATGCTTAAAGAGGGAAAAAAGTACAGTAAGTTCATACATAACTTTCTGTGATACCCAATAAGTAAACAAATAGAACTTTGTTCGAAGGTTCATTCCTTAACCAGGAATTCGAAGATAGTTGTAAACATTCGAGGGTTAGTAAGGCGGCAGTTAAGCAATCAGATGTTGTTGTTTTTTTACCTCTTGTTAATAAATAATGTTTGAATATTAATCCCACATTATTTTTTTTCTGGCTGGGAAAATTCTAGCATTTGATTTCTATAATGCTTGCTATTAAAAAAAACAGCATTACCGTCAAAACGCTATTCGTAGCAACTCTTTCCATGCAGTCCATTATGGTAAAGAATTGTGTGGGTGTACGTTTAGTAGCTAAATGGCTTCAATTACACGTATTGAATGTCTCGTGTGACAGAAGACGTGCTATGACTGAACGAGCATCAAACAAAATATGCGCTAACAATATTTTCTATGTTATAAAAGGAGCATCATGTAACTATATGCCCTCCCCTTGGAAACTAAGGTATATATGTTTACTTAATAAATATATAGTTTAAAGTCCGCACTTATTTTGTAATCGAACTGTTAGTGTTACCCTGTTCTACTTTATAGTTTATTTATTATTATGTTTATTATGTATTTTAAATTAATCAACAATTTTACCTTAAAAAAGACTGACTGCTAACCTGCTTGGAATGATGATTGTTACATAAACACGTGTTTTGTTTAAGTCAGTTGCAGTTCTTTTCATTGGCCGCAAGAGTGGGCTCTTGCAATGCAAGCTTACTGTATGTAGCTATGCGAGTATCGCAAGCAGCATGTAATACGTAACGTGCACATAAACATTACTAAGATATAAAAACACGATTAGCGTGCTATATAATGTATATTTAAATTATACACAAATGTTTTAGCTCATTTACATGGATCACCTGTGAAGTAAGAGTTTTCGATCAAATATAAATTAGTTATGGTGACGTCGTCAGTAAATTGTTATGGAAATTGGTATTAACGAAATTTTAAAGATACCCTTCGTTACAGCTCTAACATGTTGTTCTCATTACACAGGCACATACATTACATGCATGTTTATAGCCAACAAAATGAACTAGTAAAATGTTCAAGGATTAAGATTAGATGTTTTGTATGTAACATCAATTTCTCCGAAATAATGGTAGTATTTTCCTCTTCAAACTGACATAAATCTTTTACATCTAGTTTATCAATTATGTTAATAGTTTTAAGCACAGTATTTGGATTACTTAAATGAATTATGATTATTATTTAAGTGAAACAAGATTAAAATGTAACCAATTCATTATAATACTACAGGAAAGGTATATTGCATTTCTGACATGTATTTCCTACCTTATACTTGCACATAAATACTCTTTCAAAAACTGAAGAAAATTAAGAAATGTGTGTGAACCGTAAATAAAATGACAGAATTCTCTACAACAGATAATTTTAGGAAAATTCACCCTTATTAGTATTTAGTGAAAGCACTGCACTACTATACCCTACATGAACCTGATTTTAATCATGACTGATCTTAGCTTTACATTTTCTTTAGCTGAAAGTGTATTTCAGATAGACAGATACCTTTCCACGAACATAATCAATACCCTGTGCCACTGCTAAAGAAATTTTGCACATGTTCCAAGTCTTTGAACTTAATAAACTCACCTTAATAAACTCGAACTACACTAGTGTGTAATGTAATCAGTACTAAACAATAACCTTCTACTCACAGAAGGGCAACACAGTACTCTACTTGAGCACTTTGTACAAACCAAAAGCTCATTCTTGATTAGCTAAAATAGACAAACAAGAAGTGGTGAAGTAAGATGAGTGGTTCTGTGGGGAAGTATCTATTTGAAGTACAAGTACATTTCCATGTAAGAAAAATGTTACCTTCAGAACACACTGCTCACCTCTCCACAGAGGAAATAGCTAGAATCATACATTGAGATGGTGGAGGGTGTGGTGTAGAGAAAGAAATGAAAATATATGATCTCCTTTGTGATGATATAGTGACAGAAAGGAAAAACTCATGGAGTGTCTCCCACTGTGTGTGGGGGGGGCTAAAAGGAATGTCACTTGATGAGAGACTGCGCCCATCTAGAGCAGGGAATACTCTTCCTTCATTACAAGTGGTTATTCAGAAAGGTTCTATCAAAGAAATCTCCTGCTCATTGCTAAAGTATCACAAAAATGAACAGAATGTGAAGGCTGCTCAACTGCATATCCCAAAGGGTTAGCAGACAATATATGTGTAACTAGAGTAATAGGTCAAGTTATACAGTGTGCAAGAAATATATACATGAAATACAAGAATATGCAGGTTCAGGGATTAATCATCCCAGACCTGTGTCCCAAGGAAAACTCAAGACCCATTCAGTTGGCCATAACCAGAAATAGTCCAGTTCCTGGCTTTAGGTGGGGCCTGTACTACTCTTCAAGGTTAGCTCTCCTATCCTACTTCCAATCAAGAGTCATGCCCACTACATCTCATACAGACATAAAGAAGAAACCTCCATATTCATCTCTTACAGCAGCTTTGTACTGGTAAGCCAAGGATTTTCCCATTCCATTAGATGAGAAAGCAAGTAAGAAATTCATGCAGTGGAGAACAACACAGAGGTGCATAAACCAAACAAGATTTGTCTTACCTGGAAGAGAGACTGCAGGAGCTATTTTGTTTAGTGGTTGTGTAAGCATCCATTTTTTTTTTGTATTACCTATATTGGCTTATACACACACACACACACACACATATATATATATATT